CAAGTTCTGGTTGTGAAAAGCCTGTCAGTAAACCACTAAGACGGGACGATTGYTGTTGCTCCGCGTTTGGCGCGGCTGCCTGGGGAAATCCTTGTCARGAGTGCCCTCTGAATAACACAGGTAAATAGAGCGGATTTCGTATGAGTGGGACACCGTTACCACACGGTTACCGCACAGTTACCGGACCTGGCCTGCACAATTTTGGTGAACCAATGAGTCACTAGAATTTGGTTACAGTACGATTACGGTCACAGTACAGTACCGTCCGTTTCCCACTCATACGTACGAAATTGACTCTATATAAGAGCTGAAGTATAAGAATTATGCTTGTCTGCATATCTATGGTTCTTGTTTCATTTTGTAATTGTTTCAGCTGGATACAGCTTACTTTGTGGAACAACCTTCCCTGGACATAAGGTAGTCACCACACAAACTGGTCCTCAAGTAACAGGTTGGTTTAGTTAGTGACTAACACAAAGGATTTATTATATTTTGACATTGTGAACGTAGAATACTGTGATCTTTTGAAACGAAAAGACAAATCAGATTTTATTTCAGAACATGCCGCGTTTTTTTGATTCTTACTATGCCAGACACGGCATCATACACCAACAGAATATTAACAACCCTGACTTATCGATCTTTAGTATCTTGCATCATACACTTGATAACCGTACATATACTTTAATTATTTCAGATATCAACGAGTGCAGTATCAACGAAGACTTGTGTCGTAATGGCCGTTGCATTAACAAACAAGGAGCTTTCCTCTGTGAATGCAACCTAGGCTTTGGACTAAGCGCTGACCGTCGAATGTGCGAAGGTATGGATATATGCTGAATGGAAGCTCATTGTGCCAGGAGGGGAGTGTAGCCACAGTCTTTGTTCTATTTCAGATATCGATGAGTGTAAGATCTCTGCTGGTCTCTGTGGTAATGGTACGTGTACAAACACACTCGGTGCGTTCAGATGTGACTGCTACCGTGGATTCCGTAACGCACCCATGATGATGGAAGTCTGTATAGGTACGTAAACGTACGTCCGTTTATTTCTCTTACTGACGTCAATTCGACTGTCTCTTTCATGCATCGCGTCTACCCTCCCAAGCCTTCCTTGTGTACCTTGTATAGTTTTTAACACTTATTTCTGTCTGTCCGTCCACATGCCCCTTCATCCTTTACACTGATATCTCTATACCTATTTTCAGATATCGATGAATGCGAGGCTAATCCTTGCTCAGATGGTAAATGTGTCAACACCATTGGTAGTTATAAGTGCGTATGTCCTGATGGCATGGAGCTTATGAAAGACGGTGTCAGTTGTGAAGGTACGTTTTCCTTACGCATTTTTACGCGCATATTTGTGCGTATGTCTTGATTGTATAGAGCTTATGAAAGACGGTGTCACTTGTGAAGGTAAATTTCCCTTACGCATTTTATGTGCGCATTCATGCGTATATCTTGGTAGCATGGAGCTTATAAAGGACGCATTTTACGTGCGTCTTCATGCGTATGCGGAAACCTTTACGTTGCTGATGTTCCCTTTAGATTTTTTGTTGTTGTGGATAATCTGTTCCTGCGTTTATTTGGTTAGCAGTACTTATGCGTCAGTAGCCTTACGTTTTCTTCATTGATATTCTAAAAGACGGCGCTCGACCAATAATAGTTCGCGTTTTTTTAGCTGCATTGTTACCATGCATTGTACTTGACCAATGATATCGCGGCTTCTATTGTTGTTATGCTAACCAATGGTAGCAAGCGTTTGATTGTTACTAATATATCGACCAATAGTAACAATCCTTCTGTTGCT